ATTAATTCATAGAGGTAGTTACTAGATTAGTGGTTGAGTGGAAGTGAAGGTGTAGGACGACAAGACGGGAGAATGGTAGATAAAGTTTATGGATTTGGGGGATGACAAAATATCTTAGAATTGTTTGTTGTATTGGTTATCTGAATCTATCGAGTTGTACATTCTAAGTAGATGAATTATACCTTAATAAAGCTGCTATAAAATTTTTTAAAAAGGCAAATTCAATAGCACAAACAAAAAAACTTTAAAGAAACACTTGCTCACCACAGTGATTCCAAGAGCAGGGCAGGGCTCACTTTGGCATCAGATACAGAAGCAGCTTAGCCATGGTGTCAGATACCTCCCTTAAAGGCTGATTTTGCCTCTAAGTAGTCACATGACCTGGGGCAGACTCTGGATTTCTGTGTTGGCATCTACAGTATGAGAGCAATTAACTTTTTCTCTTAGACTATCATGAGAATTAGCAATTATACACTTAAAGTGCCTGGCATATTATACACATTCAAGACTGATGATGTGTATTTTTAGCTATTTTTACAATTGGGATGTGTTTTAAAAATTTATTTGCAACATTGAGAACTGCCCCCTGATCTTGGGAATGGAGCTCAAGATCCCTTCCAACTTTGGTTTGCTTCCTGAGGAAGTTCAGAACATCCTATTTAACTCTATATAAGGAACATTTTTTTTTATTAATGTCTTAGTTTGAATTCTGGGACCTATGAGAAGCAACAAGGACAAAGTGGATAAAGACTACAACGTGCCCCATCCTGTATTTCAACTTAAATAGATTCTTATCTTTATTTTTAAGTGATTGCAAAATTTTTAGAGTTTAATTTTAGAAACTTTAAAATTGCCAGCACTCTATATAAGAAAAAACAAAAATACTCTGAGATTCTATCATTCAGTGTTTTCTCCTTGGAGAACCTTCAGAACAAACCGTTTATTTAGCCAGAAGTTTTTACTTACCAGTATGTCAACAACATTATGGGACATTACACTTTTTAATAAGGATATTATATCTCATATGACGAATATACCATATTTGATTTGGCTAACTTGCTATGATTGAAAACACTAATAGTTTTAAGCTTTCACTATTATAAGTAATGGTGTCATGAAGTATCTTCACCATACACCTGGTCTTTAGCATTTTTTATTTTAGGATTAATTCTCTAGAACTATGGAAAATGAGGTATGGCATTCATAAGATTTTTGATGGCCATTTGGTATATTGCCCTCCAGAAAGAATGCATAAACATATGCAGCCATGAGCAACATATGAAATGTCCTCTTTCTCTCTATATCTGCTAATATTGAATAAGTACCAGCATAAAGTATGATCTCTTTTCCTTTCCTGTCACAAGGCTCATCACTAACATTCTGATAACAGAAGACAGGTGAACATGAGAAAAATGTAGCTAATTTACTGAATCAAAATTTTATGTGAAAGGGGAGATTTCAGAAATAAAGACCCAAAGACCCAGGGCAACCGATCTGTTCTTAAACTGAGTTGGATGAAGAGTAGACAGCCATATAGAAGTGCAAATACACCCAAGGCTATTACCATTATTTGATCCAGTGATGGTAGATGGAGTGGAAAACTCAGCCAGACTCTCTGCTCAGATTCATCCTGAACTCTCTGTGCAGCACTCCCTCTCTCCCAGATTTGGGTTAGGATCCTGAAATGACAATCTTCAAGAGATAGGAAAAAAGCAACTGTACTAGTTTTTTACTTGCTTTCTGGGCGTAGGATTCTAGTTTCCACAGTCCTCCTTAAGGGAAAATAATTTATTTGTGTATGGCTCATTTTATGAAAGAGGGAAAGAACAAAAGAGGGCAGAGGACCCTTAGACAGCCTTTATAAAATGCCCTCCCATGTTCGTCAGCTCAGAGTATTCAGTCTGGCAAGGTTCTATACTTTGAGGGTAAGGAGTTCTGAGCTCCAGTGTGCATAATCATGTTTTGTACTTGGTCAGGAGACAACATCAACATCTCACTAAATTTCAGAAACTATGTTTGTTATCACCCAACTCTTTTCAGAAATCAAATGCCATCGTTCATGCCTCAATTCCCAAAGTACATAGGTGCTTTTTGCCCCGATATGGCTTTAAATCCCTTGCTTTTTTACTTCCAGGGGCATTTTCCCATCTGGGTTCTCCTAACCTCAAACCTTGCTTTTGTGTTTCCTCTTTGAAAACTGCTGCTGTTTTAAAGCTGTTTATCTCAGGGAAGTTTGGAAGGAAAGCGGTGTGATAGAATTGATTCTCCCTAATTTGTGAATAATTTATAGCACTTCAACTGTACTTTTTAAAGAGTCTTCTTAATAAGCAATTATAGGAGAATGTCTAGGGGTATTTTGGGGGGCTCCAATAACAGAATGAAGTGGAGAAAAATAATAGCCAGATAGAAAAAGAATATTTTTAGTTTGGAATTGATTCTAGAGTTAGCTCCCCTGTGTCAGTTGAGTTTCTTCTGGCTGTTTGCCTTACTATTCTGAAATCTCTAGTGGAAACAGTTCTGAACCCAGCTGCATGATGGAATCCTTGGGATCTTTGAGCCTTCCAAGGCCTGGGACCACCCTCAGAAACCTGGCTTAATTAACCTGCACTGGGACTCAAATACCATCAGTTTTCAGAAACTCCCCAAGTGATTCTTACATCAGGAACTATTGTTATATTAAAGCTCCTCTAAAGAGCTGGGATTTCACTCAGGTTCCTCCTGCAGAGAACAAGGAATTATTTAAGGTCCAATCAAAAAGAAAAGCAGACCCCCCACTCCTACAAATGTGGACTGAGTTTGTGGGTCAGTGGTACTGTGCTTGCCTAGCATGCAGGAGGCGTGGGGTTCCATCTCAGAACAGCAATAACAAGAGGAAAAGAAAAAAAAGGAAGACAATAACCAACAAAATAAGCCTCAATAAGTGATAACTCTAAAGGCAAACAGACTGATGTGATAAGGGGGAGGAGGTAGAGACCACAACAAATGCTCTTGTTGTGCTGACTAGATGATAGACCTCAAAAGAGCAGGACACTTCCTGCAGCCTCTATTCTTCTTCCTCACTGTGTTCTATACCTATCAGGACACTTGTCCTTTAGGAATACTTTAGACTCTGTGTATTGAACTAATTGAACACTCTCAGCCCAAACCATCTATAGCTTACCTTCAAATGACATCTCCTGGGTTATGCAGATATATTCAAATGATATGCAAAATAAGGGGAAAAGAAAAGACCTGCAGTTGGCTGAGCCCCCCAAAGGCTCCTGAAAGAAGTCAAATGTTCTTCACAAGGAAACACCTGACAGAGTCTCTACCTCATTAGCAGAGTCCCTGTAGCCAGGACCCAAATCTTGGCCTTATCTGAGGACTGCTGCCTTTGGGAAAACGTAGGGCCACACGACTGAGAGCTTTCTGAGTTCTCCCCTTCACCCCAAGCAGATGTTCAGGGCTGCAGCAGAGACTGACTGCAGGGGAACTGGCTAAAGCTGCAGGAGGGCCCATACATCTGGGCTGCTCTGAGCAGATGGGGCACAGCTGCTTGGTGCATACACAGCTGGGCCCCTCGCCTGGAGTGGGGCCAGTCTCCCTGGGCAGCTCATCTAGCCATCTAGAGCTTCAGGGCAGAAGCTCTGCACGTGCCAGTCTGAAAGCCTGGCAGACCTCTCATCTGATTGTGTGTTCATGCCTTCTTCCCAGCTGGCTGCTCAGGGGCAGTCCCAGTACAATCTACCCAGGCTTCTATTTTACCTCCAAAAATAGCTCTTAATACGTTTGTGGATCTCCATTTTCAATGCCATTACCTTGGCTGAGAACCCATCATTTTGTCCCCAGGGACTTCTGCAAGCAATAGCTCTATCAAGTCTGCCTCCAGCCTTGACCCCTCCCAGCTCCTATCATCTGCTTTGCAGTCAGAAGATTCTTGAATATGCACATCCAAACTGGTCCATTCATTTCTTTCAAATGAAGAAACTGCCCGTGTGCTACTGTGATGGACAACTCTTTGTGACCAGATCAGTTAAGACGACTCTATTTCTGTTAGAAAGCACCTTGACCCAACAGGGCAAAATTTTAATAGATGAAAAATGTTTTAGAAGAAATCATTGAAACTCTGGTGACTAGTTCCTAGTACAGTTTTCTCAATCAGGCAGGTACGCAGCATAATGTGCATCCAAGACAAGCAAACAAGAGAGAAATGAACTATACCTTCAAAAAGCTCTGAGAATTTTCCTGATGATCACATATAATCCCTTTCACAGTGATACAGAATTAGTACCTTAATATTTACAGATAAACAATCCAAAATTAGTGAAGATAGGTAATTAATACAGTGTCACATAATTAGTTGCAGGAAAAAAATTAGAAATGAACTAGTTTGTACTATTAGTCTAAAAGTACACTCTCTGCCTGGTACATCATTGGAATCAAGCTTTCTTTGTGCACTTTAAAAACAGTTTACTAGGCCGGGGATGTAGCTAAGTAGCACAGGCATCTACAAAACCCAGGGTTCTATCTCAACATTGAAGGAAAGAAAATTTACTGTTTACTAAAAATGGGATGTAAGTTGTTTGTAGAAAACTGTGAGAAAAATAAAATTGCCTGTAACCATACCATACAAAGATAAAACTGCTGATATTAGTTTGAGGGTTTTTTTCCCCCTTAGCTTTTTCCTCTATAATTATATATCCATAGATCATTTAATATATGACACACCATTAGTTGAAATGTGTATACAATGTTGTGTTTTACCCTTTTTTTAAAAATCAGATATATCAGAAGTGATTTAATTGCTTAAAAAAATAAAAGAAGAAAAGACAGCAGAATTAAGTGGTGAGAAGGAGAAAGATGACTCCCACGTAGCAGTTGGAGGTTTGGTTTGAAGCAAGTAAGGCTGGGCTGCACAGAGCATGCACATTGACCACAGCAGGCTGGGAAATGAGCCCCACTCTTTCCAAACCTCCCCAAATCAATCATCCCTACACTTGCCCTTCCTGTTTCTCCTGCAGGCAGCAACTTGAATGATGGCTTGTGGCATTCGGTTAGCATCAACGCCAGAAGGAACCGCATCACTCTCACTGTGGATAATGAAGCAGCATCCCCTGCTCAGGACACCACCCGGGTACAGATTTATTCTGGAAATAGCTACTACTTTGGAGGTAAATTCTCCAGCCTTTGAATTCAAAAATAAATGGGCAGGGGGAGGGAAAATATAGTGGGCAATTATTTCTCACTTTGTCAATTAGGCAATTCTTCTGAAGTATTTGTATGCACACACTCACACACCACACATACACACAGAGAGAGAGACACACACAAACACACCTAAAATAGAGTGAAGCAAAATCTTTCATAGCTGTGCAAATATAAATTATCTAGGACAGTGCTGAGGAAGAAAAGAACTTGAGCTATAAGTGCTGGTATTACATAACACATCCAAAGGAGATTTTTTTGTAGCCATGCCAAGTTCTGTGATCGCATTGGAAAAGAGAAACTCAGCTGAAAACTTGGAGAAAGTGAACCAAGAGTCAGCAGTACCTGCAAGAGGGAAAATTCAGGTGCAGAGGCAAAGCCAGCTGCCCAGTCATCTAAGTTAGTTCAATGTTATTTTGCAGTCTTAGCCACTGTCTTCCCTTCTCCACTTCCTCTGAGTTCCTCCTTGCCCATGGAGAGGGACAGCTGGGAGTGGGGGCCGGGAAGTAGGAGGCTCTGCAATGTGAACCACTTCACATTCTATTCTCTCTGATGTCTGGTGAATCCTGGAAATCTTTCTGATGACAGATACACAAGAACAAATTGGTGAGGGTAAATAACATATGATCAGGCATCTACTACATTTGTATATATACACATATACTCTTATTTAGCCTTTAAATGTTATTTCCTTTATTTTAGGAAATAGTACCTGACTTCTTAGCCAGTTATTGGTATTCTAGAAACCATCCCTGAAAGGAATTTAAGCTTCATGGCTGTCTGACCTTGAGCAAGGCACCAATAATCCCTGGACTTTCTTATCTGAAATGTGGGAAAATAAGCTCAACTTCCAGAATTGCTAGGAGAGTTAAGTGAGAGCAAGGTTTAAATATGTAGAATGGGAGCTGGGAGTGTAGCTCAGTGCTAGAGTGCTTACCTAACATGTACAAGGCCCGGGATTCATTCCCCAGCACCACATATACACAAAATTGGGCAAAATGGCACCTGTTATATGATAGAGCATGGAAAATTTGGCTTCAGTTCTTATAGATATGAGCATGGGGCTGGGATCAAGATTATAGTCCCTAACTCTATTTCCATTACAAAATTGAATTATTATATAAAAGCATTCAGTGCATCCCCCACCCCTTTCTTTCTCCCATCTGTACACATTCTCTCAAAGTGCTGGGGATTGAACACATGTTAAGTGCACACTCTACCATTGAGCTACAACCACAGCATCTTTAGTCTCTTATATTCACACCCTAGCATGTACAAATCACTTCTCTCCTCTTGAGGAAGTGTAGTTAAAGCTTTGAAATACACAAGGGACTATGCAAGGTGCAGCTTACATATTTTGGGGAAGGAGGAAAGTAGGAGGGAAGCAGTGCAGAACAACATCTCTGAGGTTTGATTTTTAGCATAAGAAAGACCCTCTGGTCCTTCAACCCAACTCTTCTCCATGTGTGCAGTTCTGTCTTACCTCATTTGATTCATGCAGCAACTTTGTGAGGTAGCTAATAGCATTCCCCATTTAATAGATAATAAGATTGACATTTGCTGACATGAAGTATCTATATATGTAAGGTGGCAGACCTAGTAAGGTAGTAGAGCAAGGACTCAAATACAAAACTGTGTTCTCCTCAGCCTGCTAATGAAAGCAGAGAGATAAAAGCAAATACAGAAAAGGGTATTGGGGTCCCTGAAGATGTACATCACAGACTGCGTAATTTTGCCCCACATGCACTATTTCAGCAACAGAGAAAGAAAAGTGCTCTTAAACTTATTCTAGAAAAAACTGACTTTAAATAATTATCATTAAATAAGTGTCTGACCTGTCACAAAGGCAAAATGACTCCTCTCATTTAAAGAAGTTCTCTTAGAGGTGGACTCTTCAGGGGCACTGGGCTTAGGAGATAAAGATTTATCTGTGATTTGAATAGTGTTTAAACAAACGCCCCATGCATAGACTGTAAACTTGAGGTGAAAAATGAGTTTCAGTAATAATAGTCAACTTACATAAATTCTCCCTACAGCTTCAATTAGAACTTGTAGCATCTCTCTTCATTTTATAGTGTGTCTGTGAGCTGTTAACCAGCTGCTGGCTTCAACCCGGCAGTGGCTGTCTATTAGAGATGGCTGAAATAATTCCCAATTATTTATGGGTTATTGCTATGTTTTCAAGCTTGCATTCCCATATGCTTTGAACCTATTAAAACCATTGAGATGGAGTTTGTAAAGAGCACAAGCACTCCTATACCTGCTTCGCTCTATACCTGTCTTAATGAGAAGTAGATATGCCCTTATTGGAAGCTATGCTAAATCATTGCAATGCATTTTTCTCTTTAAAAAAAGATACAGCATTAACCTTTCACAAATGCTATTATATTATATTATAGATCTATAACTCTGTGCATTTAAACCCTAGTTCCTTTAATGTCTGGATTTCCTTTGCACATGATTTCAAAATTCCAGTTACATTCCTGTGTGTACCTTTCTCAGAAACTAAGCCTGTTAATGCTAACAATTAACCAAGCAATGACTCTGCTGCCATGCTTACCCAAAACATGATTTCCTTTGAAAGTGTAATTCAGAACTGAATTGTGCATTTAGACATGTGTTTCAAGACAGAGCCAAGATTCCTGAGTAGTTACAATATGTTTCTTCCTTGAGATGAGTGAAGGATGCCATGCCAAAGAATGACAAATAGCTTGCGAATAAGAAAAAAAATAAAATAAGAACAAGATAAATGTTATAGTGTCGGTATTCCCTTTAACACCCTCTTTCCCCCTATAAAGTGATTGAGTATTCCCATTTTGTATCATTTCTGTCCCCTCCCTGAGAATGCTAGGATTTACAACAAAAGTACATGCACTGCGATGAATGAAAAAGTACCAAAATAATTAGACCTCAAGGTCTTCCATCAATAGGTCGCCAAAACAATGACTGATCATTTCAGTATTCTTCATCTTTTTTCTCTGTCCCACAGGGTGCCCCGACAATCTCACCGATTCCCAATGTTTAAATCCCATTAAGGCTTTCCAAGGCTGCATGAGGCTCATCTTTATTGATAACCAGCCCAAGGACCTCATTTCAGTTCAGCAAGGTTCCCTGGGGAATTTTAGTGATTTACACATTGATCTGTGTAGCATCAAAGACAGGTAATTATTGTCTCTTCTCCTCTGTTCTCCCACCCCCTTCCCATTCTCACTGTTCTAAATATGAGTTTCTTTAAGCAAAATTCTAATCCACCAACATTAGCCACATTAGACATAATTGAGTCGCCTAATGGAAAATATTTCTGAAAGGATTTCAGGCCCAGAGAAAAATGGTTTAAATTAGTTGAGTCTCTCTTCATGTTGACTTGCAGTAAATGGGATATGCAAATTAAATCAAAATACAAATTTGTGAAAGGATTAAAATTTTATGCATAAACAACATTTGATTACTTTGAAGTTAAGAGTAAAGCAAAAAGGAGGGAGGAATTGCTTCTCTCCTGAACCATTTCATTCTTTGCTGCACTGAGTATCTTTTCTATCACAAGCATCTAAGCATCAGGCCTCCTGGGAATCTGACAGCAAAAGCTTTGGGCAGTGTCAGACTGTGCACAGCAGTAGTCTTGGGGTGGTTGATCTTCACTGTCATGATCCCCTGTGCGGTTTTGTTGACCCAGACCCTGGCTAGCAAAAATCAGCACTCTTATTCTGCAACCCATGGATCTAGCAAAAGCTTAGTTTTCTCCATCATTTCTCCTGGGATGTGGCTCTTCTCAGGTTGGGAATTTCTAGATTTAAAGATAAACTGCAGAAAACCGTAGAGAATGAATTCTGGATTTTTAGCAACATTTGCCATGTTCCCCCTGCAGCATCCACCTCCTTTATTCTTTTAATTCCGCTCACCCCAGTCCAAATAGCATTGATCCAATATGCTGAATAAGATCTGCTAAGTGCATGGGCTGTGTGTTGGTGATAGAGATCCTCTGCTCAAATTTCATCAGGGAATTAATTAGTTATTACAATAAAGTGAGATAAATGACCAAGCAATGCACCCTTATTTGTGGGACACATGGCAGTGGCAATTTAGTCTTGCTCTAAGAATGAGATCAATGATGCTAAGTGGAATCTTAAAGGAGGAGGCAAAGTCGGGAATGGCCAAGGCAGGAGTGGATGGGGATTGGAAGAATAGTGTCATGAAAAGGCATGGAAACAGGAGATAACATGGCTTACAAGTATTAACTCAGAATACTTCTTTTGCTTTTAAAATCTCTATTATTGGAACAAAAGCATTTTATAATGGATGGTATGTAATAGTTTAATTGACAGCACTTATTTTTCTCAGTGGTATATAATTGGTGGTATATCTTATTATTCATGGTGTCTTTAGATTCAATTAATATAGCTCATATAGAGAGGAGCAGTCTGGTGAAACACATGGCTTGAACTAGAGAGGTGGACCTGTTCTTCAATTGTGAAGAATTTTGTGTGCTAGTGAAATGTGCCTTCATGTTCTAGACAAGAATCAGGAAGAAGGGCTGGGATTATGGCTCAGTGGTAGAGCGCTCCCTTAGCACCGGGGGACCCAGGTTCGATCCTCAGCACCACATAAAAATAAAATGCATTGTGTTGTGTCCATCTACACCAAAAAATAAATATTTAAAAAAAAGAATCAGGAAGAAGAGGTCAAATTTACACAGTTGAAGGAATATTCCAGAACAAGTTAGAGAGTAAGCACAGATATAGGAAGGTGACTGTCCATCTTTATCTGGGGGAGCAATGAGGAGAGGTATCAGGTCTTCTACCAAGTGACATAGAAATCAACTATGCAGAAAATAGTCTTTGCTAATGTTGGGAATGACCCATCAAATTTGGTGGAGCTTCATGTGCATGTTTTCCTGTTAATACCACAACTCAGGGAATCATTGTTAAAACACACAGACTTCCTGGTTTGTATGCTTTATTTTTGTTTTTCTATTTGACCAGGTGAAAAAGTGGGTAATAAAATGTGTGCTTTGTTAAAATGCACTAGTTAAAGAACTCGGAAGAAAGGGTATTACAGGGAACAATTTCTCCCCTTTGGTCTTTAATAATGGTGAGATATAAGCATCCTACTTCATCAGGCAGCAAAGCCTTTTGCAAAGTGTGGATCAATACGGGGAACAGTTATCAATAGGAATCTCTTTGATACCTTAATTTCTAATCAAGGAAGCTCTCATTATTTTTGATTACATGAAAGTCATTGCTGTCTACACTGCATCATTACTTTTGTGTAATTGTAGTCTTGGGTAATTATATTACATACAATTGTGTTTTGTTTAATTGTATAATAAGGGATTGTGTTTAGTTTAGTGGGTAAATGGTATGTTTTTCTTGATTTGCCAGACACTTTCTCTAAGAGAAGGGAAACCCATGGCAAAATGTTTGCTTTATGCATTATTGATTGAACCTATATTTAACACTTGTTGGAGAGAGACAGGGGTAGTTTCTGCGTTTGGTGTTTCATTTATAATGTACAATTAAATATGAACACGATTTCAGGGTAATTGCAAAGTCATTGCCTTCAAGGAATGGACAACTTGGTGGAGAGGGAGGAGATAATAGTGTGGCTGTTACTTTCCTTATCTGTGTTCCTGTCTGGAAGTTCATGGAGGATGGCCTAACAGTCTCTTCTCCCAAACTGCTTCCTGTCTCTTTCCTCAGAGGCTACAGACACCCAGGCCTCCTCCCTTACCTTCCAAAGCTCTCCTTCTCCTTCAAAGTGAAAAAGGATCATCCCTACCAGCCTCTCCCACTGGTCCCAATTATTACACATTAAAGGTCTTGGTGCTGGTCTTTATGGGAAAATCAGATATGAAAACCCATGTTAGCATTCATAGAAAAGGCATGATGGTTCCAATATCTTAAGAGATTCTCCAGGGAGGCTCCTTTGAGATAGTGGCTGGAAACTCTGGTAGGTACTGACTGGTTTGAGCAGTTTACAGTCTGCTTTTGAGATATTATCTTAACTAAAAAATGGAAGGTCCTTTCTCAGGAATTAAATTTTTTTTATTAATCTGCATGCCAGTAATGGGCAAATTACCAAATACTTTGCCTCTGGGAAGAAAGGTGGTGGAATAACTGGCCAGGCTTACAGCTCTAGCAGCATGGAAAGCATGGGTTTAGGCAGTTCCTGTGCCTAATTGTGCAAAGACAGAATAGGAAGAGACAGCTGGGATTCCAGTAGACCTTTCCAAAGAGACCCCATACCCTTTAATAGTCCCTATTAATTTGGGAGATACAAAGTACAGCTCCTCCATTCTCATGGTCTCTATATCCAAGCTCTGGTTCTTTGAGCTACATTTGTTCCCTCCCTTGAAGGCAAGACATTGTATTCTAATCTCTCATTGAGAAAAGGTACTTTCCATAATTGCCTCATTTGAAGAACAGCTATTTATCACACTCTCTATAGTTCAATCTCACAGAAAGGCATTAAGTGAAACAAACATGTATATTTGTGAATAAGATACTGAAAGAGTTATATAGAACCCTGGAAGTATAGAACCACAAATATCCCTGCAGTCAATAGCTTTCTGTCACTGTGACAAGATATCCAGAAAAATCAACGTGAAAGAGGAAACAAATTATTTTGATTAACAGTTTCAGAGGTTTCAGTTCCTGGTCACTTGGCTGTGTTATTTCTGGGCCTCTGGTGCGGCAGAACATCATGATGGAAGGGCATAGTAGAGAAAAGTTTTTCTCCTCATGGTGGCCAGCAAGCAGAAAAAAAAAAAAAGGGGGGGATATAGACAAGGCAAAGCCTACAATGGCTTGCCCCCAAGGACTTATTTCCTGCAACTACACCCCACCTCCTACAGTTTCTACCACCTCCCAATTGCCCATTAAATCATAAAACTATCAATGTGTTAATCCATTGAGAATATCATGATACAATCACCTTCCAAAGGTCCCACCTCTGATTGGTGCATTGGGGAGCAAGACTTTAACATATGAGCCTTTGGGGGAACTTTCCTGATCTAAACCACAGTAAGCTCAATTTTCAAAAATGGGGTAACTATGAGCCAGAGATGTTTTTCAGCTTTTCTAAATTCACATACGGCTAAAGTTGCAGTTAAGAGTTGAACACTGCCAATGTTCCTTTCTCTGTACAATCTACTAACCAGGCACTGACCTAGAAATGTCAGTCATTGTGTAACTGTGACTCTAAATATGTAACACCACCTTTTGCTCAACCGGATAGATTTTTCACAAGTATGCAGTATGTCTTATTCTTTGTCATCTTTATGTGCCCAATGGATGGTTCTAGTCAAAAGAGGGACAGTCAATTATTGTGCACTGTCCGGTAGGGTCTGAGCGGGGCAAGATGGGCCAGGTCCAGAGGTGGCCTGGAATCTAGTATCCTATGGAAAAGCCATTCAATGCCAGAAATAATCTGCAACATTCTGGAGTTCAAGTTATAGGACAGTAGAGACAGATATCAAATGCCAGCCAAGAATTCAAAGAGAAGTTGGAATCCAAGTACAAAGTCCAACAAGGAGTGTGTGTGTGGGGGGGGGGGCGGAGACAAGGGTGCTAATGAATGAGTTAGGTATGTCAATCCCAGAAAGAAGCTTGGACCCCAGGGCAGGAGGCTACAGTTTTGAGAGGTGTTAGAATGCACTTAAATCCCAACCCACTGCTTTCCACCTTGAATGATATTATGTTATCAATCTTTGTTCCATGTTTCTCCTCTTGAAAGACCCAGGTCATAAAACCTCCATTTATGTTGAGAGGTAAAAGAGAGTGTGATATCAACAGTTGCATATCTAGTATGAAGTAATACTCAGAAAATGTTCACCATGTTCATTCCCAAACTCAAAGTCTTTCCTCGAGAGAAGAGAGGTTCTGATCTCTTTCAATAAATCCTCAAACCCCACCAAGGCCAAATGATTCCCAATAGTTTCTGGGAGTGATTCCCACAGAAACATCTCCTTGCATGTGCCCCAAATTGCTCAGTTTTACCACACCCTTTTTGGGTTTCAGTTTTCTCTAGTTCAGAGGACCTGCCTAGTTCCTAGGACCTCTAGTTCAGGCCACCAGCCACTGCCCATTAGTAAATCACACATTCATTTAAGCCAAGACTGATGTAGTCTTGCCAATTTTCTTAAGGCAAACATCTCAGAACCAGT